ATACTTCGAAATTGGCCAGGATCGTAACATTGGTATCAGAGCGGATTCTACTTGCTGGCGAGAGTTGACTTTGCTGCCATAACCCTAACCCTAGTGGTAAGGGCTAACCACTTAGGGTTAGAGCTGGAAGTTAGGGTTAAGTGGGGCAGCGTGGTGAAGGGAAGCTGCTCCCACCTGGCAGGGCCGTGTAGGGTCGACACTAGACCCGGCCAGGTTGCTTGAGTGCATGTTTGTGGTGGCGAGACACAAGGTGGGACTTCGTGATGCAATTTGTGAGAGGCGACAGTGAACGGCACCTACAACTTGAATCTGGACTTCAAGGAAGACGAGGAGTGACTTTAGGGCTCCCCTCAAGTCAGGTGAACTTGAGGGTGGCAGCCATATCTGCACCTACGGACTGCAAGTTGCTGCTTTGATCTTCAACATTGACAGGGGATCCGGCTTTGTACTTTGGGGTAGATGTTGACCCTCCTAGATGATAGGACACTAGTGTAGAGGATGCTAATTGGGCCAGGAGGACTATGTGAGAGGGGGGTGAGTTCTTTTCATCTCAAGAGCCCAGCCACTCAGGTAAGTGTCGTGCCACCAGAATGCCCATGTGTGTGTGCATGGAATTGACTGCCTGTTGGGGTTCTCTGGGTTCTTCTTCCATCCTCCATAGTCTTGATTGTGTGTGAGGTGTGTGAACTGCCTACTTACCTGACGAGTGAATGAATGGAGTATCTTGTTTGCCATGCGATATCTCTCTACAGTGCTTTGTTTATTTCATTCTGAACAGCTGTAGTCTACAGGTTCTTTCTGGGGCAAAATTTTGTTTTTCAATTTGGTAGGGACAGAGTAGGTCTTTGTGGAACTCTTGTTGGTTCTGACTCCACTGGGACCGTTTGGGACTCAGTGGGACCGGGCCCAAACACGTCTGTTGACGTAAGTTACCTTGCTCTATCTGATTGGGACGCGGACTTTATGCTTTCGGACCAGGACACTCGCTGCGGAGGGGATCTCCGCTGAGACGTTTTATCAGACTTTACCGCACGATCCGCCGCCTGACTCGCACCTTGGACACCACTCACTTCTCTCTTGCATTTCACTGTACATCTTGAATCTGATTTGCTGTGTTTTCACGGAGCTGAGGCCGGCTAGGCTTGGGAGGACCCCATACGTAGTCAGTCCAGACTGTGTGGCTGGATCAGATCTCTCTGATCTTCTTTTTTTGTTTTGATGACTGCTCTCCAGTCCAAATGAATTGCCGCTCCGGCTAGGAGTTCTACCTTCTCTTCTGACTGATTTCAAGCGGTTTCTTACATTGGGTTCATTAATGCCTGCGTCTACACGGTCGCAAACGAGAGAGAGAGAGAGAAGAGAGAAGCTTTTGAGTGTTGCTCTTGAGGGAGTGAGGAGAGGGAAGAGGAGTGTTCGTCCCAGACAAGTAAGGAAGTACGGACCCCTCTTGAGAGACTTATTGACTCCCTCGTCCTCCATCATGGCATCTGCAGCAGATTGGAAGCTGCAAATGGACGCTGCCCCTGAAGCAGAGAAAGCGCAGTACCGATTCTTCTATGAGAAAGCATTGAAGAAGGAGGAGGAAGAGAAGAGAAGGAGAGGGAGGAGAAGGTAAAGGCTCATGAAGCCATTTTCTGTACCTTGCCTGCCCTGACTGATGCGGAGGTGGAAGAGAAAACCGTTCCACTCCTCCGGGCTTTGGTGGACGTCCGGACTGTTGAGGACCACACTGGCCAACTCGCCAAAGTGTTCGACGAACTTAAGAAGTTGCGCGAGGACATGGCCCTAATGGCGCAGCAGCACCGTGACCAGCTGCAACAGTTTGCTAATGTGCAGCCAGCTCAAAGCATCCTTCCGTCTACCTACCCTGCTTCTAGTGCTGCGTGTCAGTCTGTTTTTGCCCCTCTAAATGTGTCTTCTTCTACTTCTTCGTCTTTGAGTGTGTCTAACAGCCAATCCGGATCTGCAGCAGGTCCAGACCCCGCTGCTGCTGCTGCTGCTGCTGCTGCAGCGGCAAGTGGCAGTGCAGGGAATTCTGGAACTGTTGCAGTCCCGAGTTCGGACCAGACAAGGCAGCTTTGCCTACATCGACAGGAAGGCGGCGCAGATTCCGTCCAAGTATGACGGAAAGGACGACATCGAGTCTTGGATCAGCTCCATGCGATCCTACTTTGATGTGTTGGGGACCCCCCCGTCAACCCAGTCGTCTATCCTAGGGACTAATGTGGAGCCCGTCGTGAGGGGTTTCTTGGAAACCCAAGCTGTCCAGTCAGGCTATAAGAGAATAGACCTGAACAAATGGCTGAAGGCTACGCCTACCGCCACACTCGAGGATCTCTTGATCAAACAGTATGCTGATCCACATGCGGCAGCCAACGCTAGACTTAAGCTTGACAAGCGCAAGCACAGCAAGTGGACCAGCACCATGCATAGCCTGCAGCAGTATGTTAGTAAACTCTTTGCTACTCCGGATCTGGAGATGACTACGCAGTCTTGTTTGGATGTGATAAAAGGTACGGTCCCCTCTACTCTAAAAGATCGCCTAGGGCTCGGACTCAGCGCATATACAGATTGGCTTACCCTCATGCGGGATTTAGTCAAGCTGGAGGCACAAGACCTCCCGGGTGGATCAAGTGGCAAAAAGACCACCAGCCGCAAACGGTTTCCAGGCAGCAACCGTTTTGCAGCACACAATCTGCTTGAGGCTGACGAGGAGACCCTCGTGGAGGAATCTTCTCTTGATGACGATCAAGAGCAAGACTGCGGGGTATCTTGCTCTTCGTCATCCCATGAGTCTTGAGTATGTGAACGACGATGAATCTATGAATGCCTTCAAAAAGACTGCCTTTAAAAGTAAGGGACCGAGGACCACAATGAAGAACAATACTAACACCATTCTTCTTCCCAAGGGAGCGAAAATTCCACCCAAACCGGAAGATCCTGCCACCAAACCATAGGTAGATCTCCGGATTAGTGAGAGTGAGTGGAAACACAGGGTGAGGAAAGGGGTTTGCCTGCATTGCACCAAACCGGGACACTCCGTCCAACAATGTTTTAGATTGCAGCAGGGAAACCAGCAACGGGGGTAGAGACATCAGCAGCACACTCTACAGATGGAGAGGCTGAACATGTAAGTACAGATCCTTCTCTGGATTCTGATCCCACTCAGCAAACCTCTCCTGAAACCCCATCTGATGCTGATTCCAAGGCTGAGAAGATACACATCCTATACAAGGAGCCTTGGGTAGAGTCAGGAAAAATTGACTTTCATGCTTTGTTGACACGCTGGGCTCATATGAAGCAAGAACGCGAGCAAGGGAGGACGAAGTTGATCTTCTTCAAACTCTACATTAATGGTCGTTACATCCGTGCGTTGGCTGACTGTGGTGCAACCGCCAACTACTTCTCACCGCACGGCATTCGTAAGGCACGCTTGGAAATGAAGCAAGTGACCTTGCAGAATCCTTGCCGGACCCAACTGGGCAACCAAGAGGTTGTCACATCTACGCATGGAGTCAAAGGTGTGCGCACTACCTTTGACGCTGACCGCACGATCACGC